TACGAGTCCGACTCTTCCAGGTGACGATTACGAAGACAGAACACCGAAATAGGACCATAAAAGCATTCTCTCGCGAGTATAGTCGCTGTTCACATAAAGCAAACAAGCTTCTGTGTGGGACGAGGACTTAAATGTCGTGGTTGTAGTTGAAGAGAGATGATTTGCCACGTCGACCAAGTCCCTTGCGTTTTTCTTCCCACGGAACTGATTGACCACCGGAGCGTAAATCACCGTGTTTCTCGAGGGGAATACTTCATCGACTCGTTGCACTGAATCTGGGGAGAAAATATCCTCCCAGTCAGTCTCGCTTTACACGAGAAAGAACTATACAACATAATAACCACGACTCAGTACCATGGCGCGATATATGGGCCATTCACTGCACGATATTCCTATACTTAAATTCAGAACACAACTTTAACTTCAAGCACGCATGTGGGGCCAACCTGGGTTTTAAAAAGGCCACCATGGGGGCGCATGCTTGGACCGACGCAAGACAGGCTGCTGCCATTCTTCACACCCTCACAATGAGCAAACTGAAACTGACAGCGCTCCAAAGACCAATCTGGGCCAGTAACCAAGCGCAGGAACACCTACGTATTCCATTGTGGCTTCCCTGTCGCGAACATATGGATGGTGTGGCATACTCCGTCTATTAATCATTGTCCGAGGACAGTGATAAAGTATAAAGAGACTGAACTTTTCCGATACACATCATCCACCATTTTTTTCATCCTCAGTCTGCATTAGCGCCTTGAATTTTTACCCACATTAATCTTCCTCACATTGAATTATGAACCCAACTAATGGACGTCGTGACTCGGGAGTCGCCCGTGCCCTTGCTTCCGACATCAATTATTATCCTTATTCGACCTCGCCTTCCGGACCCCCAGATTCATATGCCTATTTAAACACCTACTCTGCAACAAGTGCTACAGAAGAGTTTGAAGCTCTCTTGGCACCATCCGGAGAGAAATCTGTGTAAGTACAACCTTCGATCACGTACGAACGTCCAATCTGAAAGCTTTGGTTATTTCAGATTTGCTCATGGAAGACGATCATCCGAGGCAGAATGGAATGCACTCCAAAATCGTCGACTCAGTCTAGCATCCTCGAATATGTTTGCCGCTCGACGTTCTCTCGTCCGCACTGAGAGGAAAGATTCCTTTGCTTCCTTTGCGTCGGATGACAGTGTATTCATGAATAATGAATTGGACTACCAATTCGTGGGCGCACTCCTTCCGAATATAGCGAGTTCGATTCTTTCGAGGGCAACGCAATGGACACCATCGTCGAGGATGACATGGATTCTGAGGATGACAACGCGTCCACATACTCTTCCTATACTGCTCAGAGCGATAGAATGGCTCTCCATGATAACCCCAGCCAGGAGACTGTTAGGTATAAGCCTTCCTCCGAATCCCAGGATCGGGCCCCGTCCGTGCCGCCTTTTGTGTCGATTTCCGCTCCAGTTGGTCGTGATGCATCCTCTAGCCGCAGCGCCTCTTACAAACGGGAGCCCATCTCACACGGACGCGGATACTCTGTGCCTCCTTCGGCATCTATGTATATTCCCAACCCCGAGGATGTGTATGCTACCGCGACCCGCTGTGTCACTAGGTCTATGTTAAAGCCACGGTTCGAGAACGCGGTCAGCAACGTTGCACCCGCAAGTCCGAGTGCAAAGAAAGGCAGGGCCAAGGCAAATGCCAGTGCTGTTTCCAAGAAGGAGGAGTCCGTCCATGGCACCCCCAAGGCCCGAAAGCGCTAAGCCCATCGCGGAGCCCGCACCCTGCGCAATATCATATCTAATTACTGATTACCTGCTTTCCGTTGCCTTATTATCACCTTATTCCATTTATTGTTGCTTCCGTCTTTAGCATTTGTGCTATACCACACGCTCCTTGACATTTCATTTTCACAGCCTCTGTAAATATCTCAAAGTTGTCACATTATTAAACATAATATATTCTTTTCAACACGTCACACACACGAAGTGGCTGGAGAACCCCTGATCAAAAACTCTGCAACCAAGGAAACAAAGGAAACAATGGAACGCTTTTCTCGACAAACGTACTTCGTTGAATTTCCTTGGCTGACCTGGTGCGGAGCAGTTCGATTGCCCTGTTAAGGAAAGGAATTTCTAAGATTGGCCCATCAATTCATCATCTGGAGATCGACGCCGAGACGTCTAAATTTAGATCCAAGCGCACCAGTGAAGATAGTACTGTAGGATGCTCTCCATACCCCTACATGCTGTATAACGTATGCCACAACTACGCTTGAGTATTGTTAAATCGTGAATGAACTCTCGTTGACGGAAACCAGTTTAAGATTACTGTAGGGAATATTGCCGGCCAGGTGAGAGAATGCCCATGGCCAAAATTTCAAGCGGTGTTGCCACTCAGCTTGGGCCTGCTTCACCCACATTGGGAGACGAACAATGGTCGCGCTTCAGATATACATGGAAGATATGTGGCCCTAAGATTCCGGCGCGGTGTCGTGACCCTTTTAAAGCGTTGAATTTCGTTCAACATTGTGTTGGTTGGAAACCTATATAAAGGTTGACCGCACGGGCTACACCACTGCGCTTTTCGCTTGAATCCTCCCTCTCCCACTTCATTCTCTTCTTTCTTCGATAAACAGCCCTGAGCAGACATCAAGCGGACATCATGGCCGGCTGCTTACTGGATTCCCATAATTTTGACTTCACATTCAATGCATACTCCTCTACGGGTGTTCTTCCCTCCGATGTCGACACTACTGGCCTGGGCTCCATTGGAAACGACAGAGTTCTTCCAACTGGTTTTTATAAGGTGCTTGGAGACATTGCCGGTGACTTACAGGATGAGCATATGTGGCGCGGCATCTTCGTTAAACAACCTGAGGAAGAATTAGATGATGAATGCAGGTATGCTGGTTGTTCTCTACATGGTCGTACTCAGCACCTGATCAGATATATACTGTAGCTCCCTCGCAGCTGAATCTTGCGATGACGGTGTTGAACCCATTGTTTTCTCTCCTGGACAGGAATCTGCTGCGTCTGGACTACCGTCGGGCCCGCGCCTGCATTCAACCCCCCGGAGGACAACTACGGCTCCGAGTTCTCAGACTGTCATCCTTCTGAGCATCCTCCCATTTTTCGGAATGCGACCCAGGAGAAGCCGCTGTGGCGTACCACCAAATGCCGGTGTGTAATGATCCCCATCACATACAAGACGAGTCTTGGGAAAATCCGATGCCGCAGGCTCATGATCAGGCTGGCGACGAGACTCATGATGCTAGGATTACCGCCCCCATTAGCCGCGAGAATGCGGAGCCTTGGAATGCGGCGACATCTAATGTTTCCCTGTCTGTTCACATCAACGAGTCTACTCGGGCCCAGGAGTTCGTTGAAACTGAGGTGGAAGACTCTTCGTCGCACTTCGTGCTATCCTCCGCTCAAGTTACCCATCCTGACTCTTCAATTACGGCCTTACCAAGTCTAAAGGCCCGACGACCCATTGCAAAGCCCCGAAAAGGGCGCCCTCGTCGTGCTCTGGGTGCCCCAGCTATCCAAAATCCCTCTTCCAGTCAAGGGGGCGTAGTCCCGCCTACCCGCCCCCATTTGGAACTCGGTTCGCACAAAGTACCCGACGAAATTGTTCGCAAATTGTTCGAGAGCGAGATCTACACCAAATTTTGCCAGGCGTACGATAAGGTACACGAACTGTCAGGGAGGATTTTAACCCTGACGAAGGCGGAGGAACAACTCCAGAGGAACCGCTGGAGACTCACTTGCAACTACCTGGATGACGAGGGGCATGCGGCGGCGAAGGGGAAGCAGCAGGCCTTTTTCGTCTGCCAAAACGAGAATGTGTTAAGCTGCGGACAAGTATGCAACAGCTCTGGGGACATGACCCGGCACCAGCAAAGCGCCAGCCATGTCCAGCAGTCTCAACCACTGACGTGCTCATGTGGGGTCACCCTCAAGAGCGCACGGGTGGACGACCACAAGCGTCATTGGCTATATAGTTGTCCGGATCGAATTGGGATATCCGAGACGCCTGGGGAAGAGCCCGTAGAATCTGACAGTTCAAGGAGAAACAAGAGCTCAAAGAAACGGGCCCGGGAGGCGGAGTCGGAGTCGGATGATGATGCCGAGGATGACGAGGAAGACTATGTTCCCGGCCCTAGTGCCAAGCGTCAACGCATCCACTAGGAAGCCAACGGGAGTTTCACAATCGATCTGCTAGTGGGAGATTTTCTTTCTCTATAGATATTGCTCTCTCCGATTGTACGAGTTATGTCAAGTAGTAAGTCATTTCTTAAACTCTATATCATGTATCGTCATCGAGATGCCGGCTTTGGCGCCTACTGTACACGTCATACTGTACACGTCAACCGCTCTCGCATATTACTGTACGGTAGTACCACCACCTTTGCGACACCCCCTGGACCGGTTTACCTCCAGGCTCCTGTACATACCAATAACGAACACGACTTTTGCGATACCCTATCTTACCTTCGCCCGGGCTACCACTACTACATTGCTTTCATCGCAATTTAAACATCTCTTAAATATATCAAATGTATTCTGTGGCCTGGAAATTTTTCGCAGTCCGTTCTTGTTTCTTATAAGTATTTGATTAAAATTGATAAGGCAAGAACCACAGTTGGCCATAAGGTAGAACGGCGAGTGCATCTGTTGAAGTAGTCCATTCTAATAGCTATTGAGATGTGGATACTCAAGAACGCGTCAAGGCATATAATTAGCCATGCAGTATACTCTAGCGTCTCGCGAGCAAGTGCACTATCGCGTTGCACTCAGGCAGGCACGCATCAAAATGCACAACCGCGTGATAATCTAATCACATCTATATACATACAGGTTGAAAGCTGCATGGAATAACTGCGACTATTCATTGGTCGACTAAGAAAACTAAAAGTATAGGACTACACAAAAAGATTGACAACAAAAGGTAATAAAGTGTCTTAAACAACACTCAAAAAATAATAGTAGCCCACCGCGAGGGTCGAACTCGCAGCCTTCAGATGCCCTAAGTGCCTAAGAATCTCAGACGGTCTTAAAAGTCTGACGCTCTATCCGATTGAGCTAGGCGGGCATATCGGCTAATGATATAAAACATTTATGACCCTAAAGAACAGAAGAAGCCCACAACAGAAACACAAAACACATCACACACAATGCTATGTATCACTTAACGTAGATGAAATTTAAGATCTACAGCTCACGTCTACAGGTAGTGATCTCTAGGTATTGTTTAAGAAGTCGACTACCAGTTTTCGAAATTCGTTAGGTTTCTCTGCGTGCACTGCAACAGTCATACTTAGGTATAATAATCCCCAACGAAAGTTAAGAAACTCACCCCAGTGGCCCGTATCGAGCTCTTCCAGGTGCATGTTTGGGAAGAATGCTTGTAGAGCAGGTTTATTCTTGTGGTTAATGTATCTGATATCGGACTCATCAGCGTCGTCTTTGCATGACAATCCACGTCACTTACGCGCTCTTGGTGCCCTTCACTACCAGTGTCGGCCCGTCCCAAGTTGTAGGCACGCTGTTATCAGCGGCGTTATATTGATATGGGAACGACCCGAGTGCGTCCATATATTGTGATAAAATTCCCAGAGGCACTATAAATTTAGCCTTCTCTTGAGCGCCTTCATGGTGGGTCGCGGTTCTTGAATGGCTGGGGAGCTTGAGGTTCGTGAGGAGGAACTGGCGAACGGAGATATCCTACAATAAACCAAGTATCGTTAATAGCCACAGAAATACCAGGTCGAAGATGAATAGCTCACCGACTCGTATGCTTTCAGCCTATGGTCCGCATCCGTGCGCGTCTTTATGACACCTGGCGGCAGTGATTCGATTTTCTGCATCAAGGATATGTATTGCCGGAATTCGGCTGATAGGTTACCTATCGAAGGGGCTATGTCGTCGACGATGAGATGTGATAGTGTACCAGGAGGCACGTTCGCTTCTTTCAGTGACAGAGCATATGTCATGGCTACCTTTCCTCCCCTGCAAACGAAAAGCATGTGAAGGTCTAGAGAGGGTGCCATAAGGCAGTAGCGTACATCGAATGTCCCAACAGCGCAACATCTTTCAACTGCTTGTCTTGAATAAACTTGTGCACGTCGGACGCCATAGCTTCGTAGGTCATGGGAGATGCATGAGGTGATGAACCATGGTTGCGTAAATCAAGCGCGTATACAGGCCGGTCGGGCATGTCGCGATGAAAGGCTTTGCAGAGAGAGCCCCAATTTCGTTTAGATCCACTATCGAAGACAAAAATGAGTGATCAAGATGATATATCTGAAAGCAAAGTTTGGTTTTCGACTCACAAAAGCCCGTGGAGAACGACGAGTGGTTTCCTGTCGCATTTCCATCTTCTGGGATGATCGAGGTATAGGAAAGCTCGACTGCATCATGGGAGGCAACTTCTCCATGTTTCCTTGCGAATGTACGCGTCTGAGAGTATAGTGCGCGCGACCATTGCCTTGAACAAGTTGTAAAGGTTCTGAAGCCATGTAAATCGGCATGGATGATGGAGGTGGACCGCAAGGCTGGTGACAAATGTCCGGAATGTCACGTGTTTCTGATTTGGCGGGTCGGCACAACTTGAACTTGGGCGCAAGCCAGTCGGACGTCCAGCTCACGAAACCTCTGAATCACATCGAATACAAACCAGTCCAACTACTGCTTACAATGGAGTGCAAGCTTTTAACAGTCCACAGTGAATTACACATTCAATAGAGTCCGTAAACGTGCGTCGTGTGTGGGGCAGTCACATCCCACTGAAGCAACAAATTGACCTTGCCGAGAGCTGGAATAGAGCAGACCCATTCCAATTGCCCGTTCTCACCCAAACTCTCAGCACTATAGCCTAACCTCTCACGCCATTTTGCGACAACGCCTTCGGAAACTTGGACAGACGCCGGGATCGACACTTTACCCTCCGATCCAGAAGCAGAGGCTTTGGGAAGCGTCAAAGCTGGACTAATAAGATTGATTGAGATATTGGCATCCTGAGAGACGGGAATGTGATCGACGATCTTGATTCCTTCGACGTTGACAATTTTGGTATTATGAACTGTGATCCTCTGCGAAAAGGAGTGCACGCGAGATTTGTTGTAGAACCCTGACTCGGAGAGCTTTTGGTTCTCTGGTGATAGGTGACGCGGATAGAGGGGTCGAGGCTATGGTAATACTCGTGTTAGCCAGACATGATGACGAGACGAGAATCTACGAACCCGAGAAGACACTCGAATACCTCCTGTGGGCTGACCCTTGGAACGAGGGAGCTTGCTATAAAACTCTGATCCACGTAGACATTACTACTTCCTGCAAGGAACGTGTACTCCGAGGAATTCTTGATGGTAGCCTGAGATTGTTGTTCAGCAAGACTCGGTTTCAAGACTTGCGTAATAGCCTGACCTTTAAGTGAACCTGATCGTCACCTTTCGGGATACACATCCACGACATATTTGCATCCAGTTGCAGTTCGGCGATGGTAACGTCGTGGGCCTCCTCGTTGCTCGGAATTGTGGACTTTCCGGGAATACGAAATGTGGCATTGACATTTCCCTTCGAAGTGACGACTGTGGCTTTGTGGGGAGCATAATCCAAGTCATCTGGGTCGGCAAGTATTTTGCGAGCACGCTTCCCCCCTACAGAGAGTCGTCTTGTTGCTGCAGCCGACATCGTTTCACTTATCTTCCAAATGTCGAGATAAGGGAGTTCTAGATCAAAAGTAGGTGTCGCCGTTTCGAGGGTAATTGGGGCATTCTCCCATGTCTTCAGACGAGAGAGCACAATGACTCAGAAAGCTATCAATCGTATACGAGGGTAGTCACTTACCTCGCCAGTCTGCTGAGTAATGCTAGCCTTGTAGACTACCTTGACAGGCGCTTCTGGATTTTGAAGATTGGCTCGTATATCATAACTGGGTTCCCAACTCGAATGAGAAACCGCTAAAGGTTCGGTCAGAGACGGCGTGCGAAAGCTGGATACAACAAACGGGGCCAACTTACCATAAATCAAGACGATCTCAATTTCAGTAGCTGATTCAGCAAACAGCCCAACTACAACGCGCGTTCGCAATTCCTTATTCCCGACTGCATTTTCCAGGCGTTCTTCCTCCTCGGTCATCTCTCCCTCTATGGCCTCAATCTCTTTGTTGACCTGACGGATTTTGGCATCCCATTTCTCCTCGGTGGTGTCGTAAATTTCCATGGCTTCGCCAAGCTTGGATATGTCGAGATACTGGACATCAATTTTGTCCATGTACCCGTCGATAGCTTTGAGCGCTTTCTTATACCGCTCCAGAGCGTCAGTGGCTTTCTCTTTATTGCCATTGAGCTCTTCGAGCAGTGGTGATGTTTCATCAGGTTGTTTCTTAGCAACCTTCGAAGAGGCAACGCCATGAATAACAACCGGCCCTCTGGCTTCTACTCTGCAAGGGGAAACAGACCACGAAATAACAGATAAGCAATAGTTTCGTTGACATAAATTCGTGTGAAGACGCACCTTAAAGATTCACGGTCGGTGATATTGGGCAAAGAAGAGATGGTCACTTTATTTTGTCCAGCTGCAACATTGACTTTGAAAAGTCTGGTAATTTGAGCTCGATCAGCGTATACGTTGATATGTTGTATTGTGCTCTCTTTGAGGGAATCTAGGTTAATAGCGTTGATGGCGTCGACATCCATTCCGATATGGAGCTCGCGGGACACGTCAGTTACAGAGGGTGGTAAGCGGTAAGATGGTGGTAAGGATGAAAGTATGTTGTAGTTGTCCTGTCCATCAGATTTCCCTTTATGGCGCGGAGCCGGTAAGGATCAGACGCGGCATAAGCGTAGAAATGACTCAGATGTTCGTTCTATAGGTCTAGCGAGGGTCGTGTAGATGAATATAAATAGATCGATGTGGATGGTAGACGAGCAAAGAAGAGGCCGAGGGTTGAACACGAGCATGGCGATGGGCCAGATAAACTTGAATAAGTGCACTGTCGGACAAGGTCATCCGCCCATGCCTTCAGGGAGGAGGTATGAAATACGTCATATGGCAGTAGGATTGGCCCCGTAGATGTTATACCCCTCGTACACTCGAAGACGGGTAGAATGTGCAGATACAGAGGATAGTGGAAGGAGACCTTTCATCAGAAAGGTTCAAGCCATCTGTACATGGTTGGATCGACGTTGCGGATGTGCAGATCGGTCTCCAAAGTCCTTCTCGGTTATGAGGATGGGGATAGAAGTCTGTTGGCAGTCTTCAAGAGAGGATGGAAAGGTATGAGCATCGAATAGTGGACGCCAAGTCGCGCCATATAATTGGGGTTTTTTGACGCTCCAGGATGGACAAGAGGACTAAACAAAAAATTGCGTTCAAGCTCTAAACGAAGTAGAATCAATATTCGGGAGACGAAGGCTTGTATGACGCGTATCACATACCTTGCACGCAGTCATAAAATTAAAATAAGGTTATACACCCTTCAGAGGCCTCCTGGCAGTGGCCATATGCAAAGGACCATACTAGTGGGGTGCGTGCTTCGAGTCCGTCGATTTCTGCTACGAAATCTGCACGTTTGTCTAGCTGTTTCGTGCAGTATTGGAAGAAGTAACGGCGCTAAAAGATCCCATAGAAAGATTTTGCGGTACGCAATCACAACTCTTAACACTTGCTTGGGCGATGGCCGACCGTGGACGGTTTTCGAAGTTTTTGGGAGGTGAAACAGGCTCCTAAACGGAGCGCGAAACGGACTTTGAACTGTACAGGGCAATTCCGATGTGTTTTTTCTTTTTTCAAGTTGTTCTTGTGTTCAACCAATATTCAACACATGAAAAACCAAACGAAATCCTTCATTCCTAATGAGTATCTATGTTATACACATACTATCATAATTTTCTGCTTGAATATTTGATTTCGCCAGCAGGTGGTCAGCCAGCGGGAGGGCGGATAAATTCCGGCCGAATCCAGGGTCAAGTGCACCAACTTCTCGTTCACGTTGGCCAACAAATCCACCTTGTACCATACAGTTCATCCTCTCTTTGTCGAGAAGCAACGTGCAGACTGTTTAGTCTTCCGGGCCGTGGCTGGTCATTG